TTTCACTTCCTCAGTTTTTCAGTTTTTCGATTTTTCAGGTTTTTGATTTTTCGATTTTTTAAGTTTGCCATTTTTCGACTTTGCTTTTTTGGATTTTCCGTTCAATTGTGATTTTTCAGTTTTTCTTATATTTTTCAATTTTTCAGTTTTGGGATTTTTTAGTAGGTATTTCGACTTTTCAATTTTTTCGATTTCTCGGCCTTTAGTCTTTGGATTCTCTATTTTTCGTTTTTTAAACTTTAGGTTTTTCAATTTTTCGACTATTTTATATTTCGATTTCTCAATTTTTCAATTTTCGGAATTTTTAAATTTCTCAAATTTCCAATTTTTAATTTTTCAATTTTTCCATTCTTTAATTTTTCAGTTTTACAAATTTTCGATTTGAAATATTTCTGTCGGTTTTTTATTTTCTTTATTCTTACAATTTTTCGTTTTTTCAATTTTTCAATTTTGCATTTTTTTGTTTCTTCAGTTTTACGATAGACCTACACTTCGAGTTTTCATTTTTTTTTTATTTTTCCCGACTTATCAACTTTTCCAGTTTTAATTTTTCGGTTTTTCGATTTCGGCCAATGACGGTTTCTCAATTTTTCGACTTTTCGACTCCCCGATTTATCGAACTTTTGATTTTTCGCCTTCTCGATGTCTCGTTTCTGAATTGTTCGATTTTTTGATTTGTTGGTTTTTCGATTTTTTTTTACTTTTCGGCTTTTCGATCTTTGATTTTTGATTTATTTGACTTTTCAATTTTCCAATTTTTTTAATTATCGAGTTTCGATTATTCGATTTGTTGATTTTTCAGTTTTCCCATTTTTAAACATTAGATTTTCGAATTTTTATTTTTTCTATTTTTTGATGTTTGGATTTTCCCATTTTTCAATTTTACGACATTTTAATTTTTCAATGTTTCAAATTTTAGATTTTTCGATTTCTCATTTTTTCAATATTTTTTAATTTTTGGAATTTTGACGTTTCTGAATTTTTAGTTTTGCCATTCCTCAATTAATCAATTTTTTATTTTCTCATTTCGCGACTTCCCAAATTTCAATTTTTCGCTTCCTCAGGTCTTCAGTTTTTCGATTTTTCAGGTTTTTGATTTTTCGATTTTTTAAGTTTGGCATTTTTCGACTTTGCTTTTTTGACTTTTCGAGTTCTCAGTGTTTCAATTTTTTACTTTCCTAATTTTTGGATGTTCCGTTCAATTGTGATTTTTCAGTTTTTCGATTCTTCAGTTTTTCTTATATTTTTCAATTTTTCAGTTTTGAGATTTTTTAGTAGGTATTTCGACTTTCCAATTTTTCGATTTCTCAGCTTTTTACTTTTTGGATTCTCTATTTTTCGTTTTTTAATCTTTAGGTTTTTCAATTCTTCGACCGTTTTATTGTTCGATTTCTCAATTTTTCAATTTTCGGAATTTTTAAATTTCTCAAATTTCCAATTTTTAATTTTTCAATTTTTCCATTCTTTAATTTTTCAGTTTTACAAATTTTCGATTTGCAATATTTGCTGTCGGTTTTTTACTTTTTTTATTCTCACAATTTTTCACTTTTTCGTTTTTTCAATTTTTTTGTTTTACGATATACTTACGCTTCGAGTTTTCATTTTTTTCATTTTTCCCGATTTATCGAACTTTTGATTTTTCGCCTTCTCGATGTCTCGGTTTCTGAATTGTTCGATTTTTCGATTTTTTTTACTTTTCGGCTTTTCGATCTTTGATTTTTGATTTATTCGACTTTTCAATTTTGGTTTTCGAATTTTTATTTTTTGATTTTTTGATGTTTCGATTTTCCCATTTTTCAATTTCACGATATTTTAATTTTTCAATGTTTTAAATTTTAGATTTTTCGCTTTTTCGATTTTTCAGTTCTGCAATATTTTTTAATTTTTCAAATTTTTGGCGTTTCTGAATTTTTGTTTTTTTCAATTATCCAATTGTTCAATTTACAATTAACGAATTAATTCTTAGTTAAACAAAAAAATAGTTGCATATCAAAATCGAGAGAAACATGTGATCTAAATAATAACTATTTCCCGCAGAAATTCCGAACGCTTAGAGTCGACTTTGGCTTGAGCGTGTTTCGGTCTGTGGATCAAACAAGTTCTCAGGCGACTTGTAAGTAACACTATTTTAATTTTAATGCTGTAGATAAAGTCAAAAATATCTTACCATAAAATTGTGGTAATTAGTCTGTTTTACTTTTTTAGCTGTAAATACACATTTATGGTACATAAATAAGCCCACCATTTGTACTATTTAAATTCACAATTAAATCGAGTCGTCGAATTTAGTTTGAAGCTAAAAATGAAAATTTATTTAAAAAAATGCTTTCACAGTTTTGACCCACAAACAATTCTACAGGGTGTTTTTAAAAAACAAGTACAACAAACAAGTATTGCTTTCATAAAATTTGGCCTTTCATATCTATTAATATTAAGTAATTAACTTTTAGTCGCATATAGTTGTGCTCATAAGATTAGTTACAATTTTTTTTTGCACATGTATTTCAAAAACATCCTGTATACACACTATACAACTTTTTAACACTACTTAAACATAAAATTAGTTAGTTTATATGGTCGCGCCAATTTAAAAAAAATACAAATCTAGAGTTAAATATATCTTTGTCCTTGGAAACTAGCTTATCAATGCAGATTTTTTTACCATTCTATACCTACAAAAACATAGATAAAAAAATTTGATAAGGAAAAGTAGTTGTATTAGTGCGTTTTAAAACGGTAAACTTTTTTTTTATTTATTACTTTACTCATACTTCCTGTACCCTGCCAAGCTTCCTTGTCTATTTAATTCAACCCCGTAATTTTTAGCTCAAACCCCGGTTCATAAATGCTAATAACCCACTCCTAAAGGGTATCCCTCCTTCCCCATTTCGCTCCATAAAACCAACATGAAAACGTTAGTGAGCTTTTACGCCATAATTGCCTTTCCGAACTGTCGTATCCGAGTTATAAAGCTCGCCTATAGCTCTGCACACATCGCCGATCTTTATTTTATGCTGCGGATAACCGGAGTTTTTATTCGACGAAGACCGGAATCGTCAACTGCTGCAGTCATTTCTTACTCCGAATACTTACCCTTATGTACCACGAAAAAAGTGGAAATGTCACCGTTATAAATGTATGTTTACAGGTTTGACGGGTTTTAATTATAGGTTAATACAGGTAGGCATAATCGTGGTCAGTGGGTAACAGTGCAAGAAGGTTCATTTTTTGCATTTCTTGTCATCTTTTTTAATTAACGCTGCAGGTAGTTACTAAGATTATTCTGTGAAATTACCCCTATTTATCAAATAAAATATTTTAACAAATCTTATACTATTAAACGAGCAAAGTTTGTATATATATATATAAATATATATCTATATATATAATGGGTTTCTCGAAAACGGCTCTAACGATTTCGATGAAATTTACAGGTTGGGGGTTTTTTGGGTCAAGAAATCGATTCATCATAGTTTTAACTTCTGAAAATTACAGCTTCATACATTTTCAGCAATTTTCAGGCAGTGAATTATATTCGTTGCTAGGTAACATCGGATGACACTACACGAACACGAGATTGTTTTATAAGAGAAGTTTGGGTGACAGTCTGACAGTACGTTTGACGTACCTTTTTATCTTCAATTGTACGTACCGAAACATACTCCACTGTATAGAGGACGTTAAAATTCACCCTCTGAGGTGACAAAATTTACGGAAAACTAAACAGTGAGCGGATAAAAGGCACACGAAAGTGCGTTGAGTTAAGGTTATGTTGTCAAGCATTCATTTCAGAGGTTCGACGGTCAGGGTCAATATGTGATCGTTTTCCGGGATGGGACCGTATTATTTCAGTTTTTGGGCTCAACTTTTCGCACACTTTCGTAAGTGGCATCTTCGGGAGCAGGGTTGAGATTGAGAAATTAGGAATAACGCAAAAGAGCACGGTAACTCAGTATGTTAATCACACCAGAGGCGAAACCATTCTGGCAGTAAGAAAGTGGTTGTGACCTTTTTCTAGAGTCGAGAGAGAGAACTAGGAAAAAAAGAGAACGACAGAGAGAGAACTTGGGTAACAAATGAGATTTTAATAAAAATGTCAAGCAATAATTCCAGTTTTCCATTCTTTAATCTCTACATGTCACTCATCACTATTTAAAACAAAGACTGCTTATGGAATTTCTTTTTTAATGTGTATTTTTAACTAGCGCGTGTACTTCAAAATGCATACTATACGCATATTTATCTGTCCTAATCTGATCTAATACTACCAAACGAGCCGAGTGAAGCTCGGTCAACCAGATATTGTAATACTTAGTTCTGAAAAAAGTGGATTTTTCTGAATGAAAAACAATAGCTGAGTGTTGCACTCGACCGCGCAACTTCCCCGTCCACTTCGAATTATCAACTTTTTATTTATTTTAGGGATTTTGTTAATTTCGTGCTCGAGCGACCATTTCCATCCTTCGCCAATTTGGCGTTTTTATAGAGGCTGTAATCGCATCAAATAACGATTCGTTGACTCCCTAGAGCGGCGCCGCTGATTGTAATGCAATTCGTAGGGCTAATGTGACGACATCGACATATAATTCGGGGATAATGCCCCTTGCTCTTAGCGTTCCACGCCTAATTAACATAACAACCCTAATACATATATATGTTTAAGCTAATATGACAAGGGGAGCCGCAAATCCACACCCCTGCAATAAATAACCTTGCGACTACGCTATTATTGCTTTATTGTTGTACGACTATGAATTGATGCTCGATGAAGGGGATGCTCTAACAAGTACTTAAATAATTCATTGAAGTTAAAAAATCTACATGAATATATCGTACTCAGCTCAAGGCAGGTCAGATCAAATCGACCCAAATCGGGTTTAATAACATTCCTATCCTGGTTAAAAACGTAGGCAATTAAAACTAATGTCCACAGATAAAATTCACCGACAAGAATATAAAACAGTGATAAGGAAAAAGTATTTGTTTCGCTTTAGTTAACCATGCAGCTACCGTTTGTGCTTTATTACCTCCTTTCTACCGTGCCATTTTCGTCTTCTTTGTTGTATTCTTTCGGGGAAAAACTTGTCTGGTCTACAATAAAAAAATTGGCGAATAATCGCGCACTGAACGAAGATTGCAGTCTAGATGTGGCGTCAATATTACCAAACAGTTTTAATTTAAGCCCTCTGGCTACAAAAAGTAAGTACGTCTCTGCAACGAATCCAAGATTTGAACCAATAATTGTAGTGCTACACGCTAGTGCCAAAATCAATCCAGGTCTGTTAAAAGGAAACCTTCACTTGATTGGAGATTTTGATCAATGCTTAAGCATCGAAGAAAAGTCAAGTGGAAGAACCATCACTGGACAATATTGTACGGTGCTTTGGACGGCAAAACTACATAAGTTTCTGGCTCAAAATTCAACCACACTCGCTTTAAAAATATCAAAAGTACTTATATAAATTATTGGTGTGTTTTTTTTTTTGAGTGGTTGTTCTAGATTACGCGAAGTGACGACAAGACGTTTTTTGCAAAAATTTTGAAACTTGGAGGCAATGTCACAGCACCTTTGGGTCTGTGTGTCCCAAAGTCTTGCAAAACCAGAGATCTAGAGATTCTTATTTTGAATCTTTTGAGAAAATTTAGGCTACGGGTGAAGGCACAATTCCACGACAGTTTGTGTTTTTACAAAGACAAACCTGTGACAACCAGTTCTTTGGACTATTTTGTTTAGTAAGTTAATGTTTTTGATTTTGCAGCAACTGAGTCTCCGTTTTAGTTTCTTTTTCATGACCGTTATTTCTGTGATGGTTGCGAGCACCCTGTATGATTTGTACTTACGTTACAAGGGTCTACCCAAATCACCCAACATTTGGCTAATTTTTTCCGTCTACACCAATGCCGAAATTTTGTTTCAACATTCAGACCAAGATATAACTTGTTTGGGTGGAGTGAAAGCTCTGAGTAATGTCTGGATTATCTTGGGTGAGGTGGTAGTGAGCGGCAGGTTTCTGACGAAAAACATACTGGATGTCATCGCTCAGGTGAAACCAAAATATATGTATCAATTTCGAAATTTATAATTTATTTTGGAAAATTTTAGCCCAAGTACGACCTTGCGCGCACTTTCGTCTGGTCTTCGTTTTTTGGCAACGAAACTCTGCTTACAATCAGCGGATTTCTGCTCACTTACAACTACTCCAAAACGTCAAATTTGGTTACTTTTTATTTCATGCGATTTTTTAAGTATGTGGGTACGCAGTTTAACTTTAACTATTGCGTTGGCTGGGAACTTGTTTGATCTACAGACCAGAGCGCACTCAAGCCAATATCGACTCTAAGCGATTTATCTATAACCCGAGTTTCGTCAGAGCTGATTGATGAAGAACTCACTGGTTTAGACCATCTGGTCAAAATTTACAATTTTATGTGTAGTCCTGAACTTGTGGTTTATAAATACGCTATTGAGATTTTTCGGCTTTTCGATTTCTCAATTTTCCGCTGTTTCAATGACACAATTTCTCAACTTTTGTCCTCTTCAATTTTTCAGTTTTTTAGGTTTTTTATTTCACAGTTTTTTGGATGTTTCTTCAAGTTTTGGGATTTTTCAATAGGTATTTCAATTTTTCCACTTTTACATTTTTGGACTCTTGAACTTTTTGATTTCTCGATTTTTACCTGGATTTTCAATTTTTCGACTGCTTTATACTTCGAGTTTTCGGTTTTTTCAATTTTTCAATTTTCCGAATTTTTAAATTTTCGATTTACCAATTTTTCTTCTTTAAAATTATTCAATTTTTAACTTTTCTTCTCGACTTTCAACTACTCGATTTCTCGATCCTCTGATTTTTCGATTTCTCGATGTCTCAGTTTTTGAATTTCTCGAAGTTTCGATTTTTGGATTTCTAAGTTTTTCGATTTTTTAATTTTGGGATTTTCAATTTTTCAATTTTCCAATTTTTCGATGTTTCGATTTTTCAGTTATCCGATTTTACAATTTTTCAATTCTTTAAATTCTGGAGTTTCGATTTCTCGATTTAGATTCGATTTTAATTTTTGATTTTTTGAAGTTGGATTTTGCCATATTTTAATTATTCAATGTTTTAAATTTTAGATTTTTCGATTTCTCGATTTTTTGTTTTTCAGTTCTTCACTATTTCTCTTTTTCAATTTTTTTGACGTTGCTAAATTTTCAGTTTTCTCAATTAATCTGTTTTTCCCATTTCTCGACTTCTTCCAAGTTTAAATTTTTCAGTTCTTCAATTCTTCGATTTTTCGACTTTGTTTTTTTGGGTTTTCGATTTCACAAATTTTTAATTTTTTAATTTCTCAATGCTTCGATATTTCTTTCAGTTTTGAGAATTTTTGATAATTCGTTTCTTCGAGTTTTCTGGATTTTTCCATTTTTTATTTTTTGGATTTTCAGTTTTGTCTTTTTTAAACTTTAGATCTTTCAATTTTTCGACTGTTTTATAAGTATGTATTTCGATGTATTAATTTTTCAATTTTTAAACTTCTAGATTTTTCGATTTCTCGAGTTTTCAATTCTTCTGTTTTAATTTTTCAATTTTCCGAATTTTTAAATTTTTGATTTTTCAATTTTTTGAGATTTGGATGTTTCGATATTTTGTTCTCGATTTATCAATTTTTCCACTTGTAACTTTTTGATTTTTTGATGTCTCAGTTTTTGAATTTTTCGATGTTTCGGTTTTTCGATTTGTCGATTTTTCGATTTTTTGCTTTTCGGCTTATTGATTCTTCGATGTTTTGTTTTTTGAATTATCCGATTTTTCAATTTTCCAATATTTAATTATATGTATTTTTTAATTTTTCGAATTTTGACGTTTCAGAATTTTCAGTTTTTTGATTTTCCCATTTCCCGAGTTCCCAATGTTTCGATCTTTCAGTTCTTCAGTTCTTCAAATTTTCAATTTTTCAGGTTTTTGATTTTTCGGTTTTTCGATTTTCCAAGTTTGCGATTTTTCGAGTTTACTTTTTTGACTTTTCGATTTCTCAATTATTTAATTTCCCAGTTTTTGGATGTTTCGTAACTTTTATTCCTATTTTTCAACAATTTTTCGTAATTTGAGTATTGGGATTTTTTAATATTTCGACTTTTCGAGTTCTGGATATTTCGATTTCTTGGATTTTCAATTTTTCATTTTTTAAACTTTAGATTTTTCAATTTTTCGACTGCGTTATACTATGATTTCTCAAAAATTGAAACTATTCGATACTTTAACTTTTCAGTTTTTAAAATTTTAGGTTTTTCGATTTCTCGAGCTTTCAGTGTTTCTATATTTCAATTTTCGGAATTTTTAAATTTTAGGTTTTCCAATTTTTCGATGTTTCGGTCTTTCAGTTACCCGATTTTTCAATTTTACAATTTTTTTATTTCGGGAGTTTCAATTTCTCGATTTGTCGATTTTCAGTTTTTCGATTTTAAATTTTAGATTTTCGAATTTATATTTTTTGATTTTTTGATGTTTATATTTCCCCATGTTTCGATTTTACGATATTTTAATTTTTCAATATTTTAAATTTTCGATTTTTCAGTTCTTCAACATTTAATAATTAATTATATTTTTCAATTTTTCAAATTTTGACGTTACTGAATTTTCAGTTTTCCGATTGATTTTCCCATTTTCCGACTTCCCAAACTTTCGATCTTCCAGTTCTTCAATTCTTTTTCAATTTTTGATTATTCGTTTTTTCGATTTTCCAAGTTTCCGATTTTTCAACTTTTCTTTTTTGACTTTTCGATTTCTCTATTTTTTAATTTCCCAATTTTTGGATATTTTATTTCGTTCAATTTTATTCCTATTTTTCAATATATCGAAATTTGAGTATTGGGATTTTTTTGTACCTATTTCAACTTTTCGAGTTCTGAATTTTTCAATTTCTCGACTTTTTACTTTTTGGATTTTCAATTTTTCATTTTTTAAACTTTAGTTTTTTTCAGTTTTATGCTGATTTCTCAATTTTTGAACTGTTCGATATTTTAACTTTTCAGTGTTTAAAATTGTAGTTTTTTTTCGATGTCTCGAGTTTTCAGTGCTTCTATTTTCAGTTTCGAAATTTTTAAGTTTTGGATTTTCTAATTTTTATTTTTTGATTTTTTGACGTTTAGATTTCTACATTTTTCAATTTTACGATATTTTAATTTTTCAATATTTTAAATTTTAGATTTTTCGATTTTTCTGTTCTTGAAAATTTTTTAATTTTTCAAATTTTGACGTTTCTGAATTTTCAGTTTTCTGACTTCTGATTTCTCGACTTCCCAAAGTTTCGATCTTTTAGTGTTTCAGTTCTTCAATTTTTCGATTTTTCGGGTTTTTGATTTTTCAATTTTTAATTTACAAATTTTTGATGTTTCGTCCAATTTTGTGGTTTTCGATTTTTCAATTTCTCTCTTATTTTTCAATTTTTCGAGTTCTGGATTTTTGGATTTCTCCACTTTTTACTTTTTGACTTTCAATTTTTTTGATTTTGCCAACTTTTTAATTTCTCAATTTTTGGATATTTCTTTCAGTTTTAGAGTTTTTCGACTTTTGGATTTTTCGATTTTTAATTTTTTGGATTTTCAGTTTTTCGTTTTTTAAACTTTAGATTTTTTAATTTTTCGACCGTTTTATATTTCTTTTCTCAAGTTTTCAACTTTTCGATATTTAAATTTTTCACTTCTATGTATATTTTTCAATTTTCTGAATTTTTAAATTTTCGTTTGTTGAATTTTTTCATTTTTAACTTTTCGATTTTGGCGTATTTCGGTGTCTCCATTTTTCGATTGTTCGACTTCTCGACTTTTCGATTCCCGGATTTCTCGATCTTTGATTTTTCGATTTCCAATTTTTTTAGTTTTCGATTTTCGATTTCTCGATTTGTTGATTTTTTAATTTTTCAAATTTTGATGTTTTTGAATTTTCAGTTTTCTGATTTCTCATTTCTCGACTTCCCAAAGTTTCGATTTTTTAGTTTTTCAGTTCTTCAATTTTTCGATTTTTCAGGTTTTTGGTTTTTCAATTTTTCGATTTTTAAGTTTGAGATTTTGACTTTTCAAATTCTCAATTTTTCAATTTTTAATTTCCGAATTTTTGATGTTTCGTCCAATTTTGTGGTTTTTCAATTCTTCAATTTCTCTCTTATTTTTCAATTTTCCGATATTTCTGTTTTGGGATTTTTTGTATTTCGTCTTTTCGATTTTTCGAATTCTGGATTTTTCAATTTTCCGACTGTTTTATACTATGATTTCTCAATTTTTCAACTATTCGATATTTTAACTTTTGAATTTTTGAAATTTTGGGTTTTTCGATTTCTGAAGTTTTCAGTTCTTCAATATTTCTATTTTTCAATTTTTCGATTTTTTAATTTCATCATCTTGCTTTTTCGATTTTTAAATTTATTTTATTTTTAGATTTTCAGATTTTCCAAGTTTTCGTTTCTCAATTTTCTCGGCATCATCTGTTTTGGGAACTGCGATTTCTGGTTTTGTTAATGTTTGGGTATTTTAATTTTTCGATTTTTAAAATTTTTGATTCTTCGATAATTCAAATTTTCAGTTTTTCCGTTTCTCGATCACTGAGCGCCTTTTAAGCATGTCGCGTTATTGTTAAAAGTAAAAAATAACTAGCAAAGTTGTGACCAAAAATATGTAAAAATTAATACAAAATAAAACACAATGCTTTTAAAACAATAAAATAACTGCACTGCTAGCAGAATTTCTGAACGCTTAGAGTCGACTTTGGCGTGAGCGCGCTCCGGTCTGTGAATCAAACTAGTTCTCATTGAACATTTTTAGATGCATGCCAGTGCTTTTGGTGACCCTTCTCATCCACACCAGTACCTTGAAACAAAGTACTAGTGGCCCTTACGGACCCTTCGCTGCAAAAACCTACACACAACCCTGCCAAACCGACTGGTGGAAAGTTTTCTTCTTCTTCATCGGCATCCAAAACAAAGTTGTATTTTAACAAACTTAGACTAGTCACGTGAAACCATTTTCCAGTGTCTTCCACACACGTGGCTATTCGCACTCACCACTCAACTATACGTGTGTTCAACACTGTTTCTACTTTCCACGAAGTCAAACAAACTCAAAGCAAAAATCCTAGCAAGCGGAATTTTTCTCGGTGTACTATACAGCTACACAATCACGTTGGTCAAAAAATTAGGATTCGCTGTGTTTGAGTAAGAAATTTTGACACATTTTTTGACTGAGTCTGGTTGGGTTAATCCAGGTGGAACGACGACTTCGAAACTTACATTTACCATTCCCCTGTTGCTCACATGCCGTCCTGGATTATAGGGGCATGCTCTGGATACGTACTTTCCAGACCAAGTGTTAAAATTCCAAAAATTTGCAACCTAATCGTGTGGGTTGTTTTAGGTTTGACAATGACGAAGCTCGTTTTTGGGCAACTGGTTTTGTTTGAAACTGAATTCAGTCCTCAACGGTCGGCCCTATGGAATGCTTTGGCACGTCCAGTGTGGTCTTTAGGGGTGTGTTTTATTTTAGTGAGTTGTTCGACTGGAAGTGGAGGTATTAATGAATTATTTTTTCCAAAAAAGACTGACTATTGTTTTCAGGTTGTATCAACGATTTTTTGTCGCACCCTGTATTTCGAATTCTGGGTAAATTGACGTTGAGTATGTATTTAGTACATGAAAGCGTCGTCTTTGTTTGTCTTGGTAACAAAAAGGAAACGTTTACTTTGAGTCTTGTAGAGAATGTAATAAAATTACAAAATTTCGTAAAAATGTGTTTATATAAGAAGGAATTTTTAGGTGATTATGTTTAGTGGTACATACGCAGTGGTTTTGGTGGTTTCTGTTTTCGTGTACCTTGGCTTCGAAGCTCCAGTTTTAGCCCTGAGGATGTACGTGAGGGACAAAGTCAGTTCGAAACGAAGACTGAAGTAAATATAAAAATATTTGTGCATGTATTCAGTGAATAAACAAAAGCCGAATCGATCATGTAAACCCCCCTTTATAATGAAGCCATTTCGCACGGTACAACTAAGTGATTTGTTACCGTTTATCGGCAGTACTGCCAACCTCGCGAGTTATGCGACTTAATGACAGCAATACACAAGTGAACGCTTTATGGGCACGCAAGTTCTTTTAGCGCGTTGGTCATCAACATCACGGGAATCCGATAAATTCAAACCATTTGTAAAAACAAGTCGTCGGACGAAGAAATCGAACCACGTATGAGAAAATAATTCAACCGTTAACCATTCATTAAACCGTAATAACCAATTAAAAACGGTATTAGAGAAGGAAAGAGGTCTTTTTGGAAAAGACGAGAGTGCATTGTTTTGCTTCTACCTGCTCTGACACTTTGATGAACGGTCCGAAACATTTACACACCTACGCTCATAAAGCTACTTAGCAAATTGAACATCAATAAATCTCCCTAAACCAGAGAAAATCGCATGAAAGACAGATAATTTATGGGTTGTTCCAAAGGGTGTAGCTGTCTCCGGGACGTTGACTTTTCTCTCCAAAATTTACGTTGGTAAATGTTATTTCAATTTTATTAATTCAGTGTTTAGTCTAGAGATCCATATTCGTTTATTCCCTTCTAAAAAGTTCATGACATCATCTTAAAATTGATGTGTAAAAAATATTTCATACAGTCATAATAATGACTCTATAATAAATTGTACTAATGAACTTTTAACTTATAAAGGTTTTCATAAAAATTAAAATTATTCGTTTTTCCATTTTCTTTAATTTTTCAATTTTTTCATTTTTCGTTTCCTTAATTGTTCGATTTGCAATTAATCATCAATTTTGCAATATTTTGATACTACAGTTTTTCATTTTTCGATTTTTCAGTTCCCCAGTTTCCGAATTGTTAAAATTTTCAATTTTGGAGTTTTGGGTTTTCTCAATTACCTGATTTTCCGTTTTCTTTAGTTTTCAATATTTCCATTTCCCCAATTTTTTTGTTTCTTCAGTTTTTCAAGTTCGTGATTTTCAGTTTTTAGATTTTTGCAAATCGAAGCACCGAAGAAACGAAAGAAAAATTGTAAAATCGAAAAATTGGAAAATTAATATCGAGAAATTGAGAAATTAAAAACCAAAAGTTAAACATCGAAAAAATGAAAAATCGATTAAATGGAAAACTTTTAGTTGGGGAAATGAAAAAATGAAGAATCGAGGAATTTTTACAATTTTGGGTTTTCTCAATTACCTGATTTTCGGTTTTCTTGAATTTAGAATATTTCCATTTCACAATGCTCTGTTTCTTCGATTTTACATTTTTTCTATTTTTACGTTTCTCAATTTTTATTCTTTGAATGTTCCAATTTTTCTATTCTTCAGTTTTTCAAGTTCTTGATTTCCAGATTTTAGACTTTTCAAATTTTTCATTTTATACTTTTTCGAAATAGTGGAAAATCGAAAAATTGCAAATCGAAGTACTGAATAAACGAAAAATCGAAACTTTGAAAACTAAAAAACGAGAAACTTAAAAATCAAAAAATTGGAAAGAAGAAAAAACGAATCCAATAGAAAAATTGGAAAACCCAAAAATTTTAAGATGGAAAAATTATAGAATCGTGAAAATCGTCAAAGTCGAAAAACTAACATTGAAAAATCGAAAAACTGGAAAATTAATACAGAGAAATTGCAATATTAAAAACGAAAAGTTAAAAATCGAAAAAATTAAAAATCGATTCAATGGAAAACTTTTAATTGGGGAAATGAAAAAATGAAGAATCGAAGAATTTAAAAAAAAATTGCAATTTTGGGTTTTCTCAATTACCTGATTTTCCGTTTACTTTAATTTAGAATATTTCCATTTCACAATATTCCGTTTTTTCGATTTTCCATTTTTTCAATTTTTAATTTTCTCAATTTTTATTCTTTGAATTTTCCAATTTTTCGTTTCTTCAGTTTTTCAAGTTCTTGATTTCCAGGTTTTAGATTTTTCAAATTTTTCATTTTATACTTTTTCGAAATAGTGGAAAATCGAAAAATTGCAAATCGAAGTACTGAAGAAACGAAAAATCGAAACTTTGAAAAACTAAAAATCGAGAAACTTAAAAATCAAAAAATTGGAAAGAAGGAAAAACGAATTCAATTGAAAAACTGGAAAACCCAAAAATTTTAAGATCAAAAAACTATGGAATCGTCAAAATTGTAAAGTCGAAAAACTAACATTGAAAAATCGAAAAACTGGAAAATTAATACAGAGAAATTGAAAAATTAAAAACAAAAAATTAAAAATCGAAGGAATGAAAAATCGACTGAATGGAAAACTTTTAAAATCCGCTATTTAATATTTTGTTTATTGTATTACATATTTAAAACGAAAACTAGAAAAATTGCAAAGCAAAAACTGAAAAAACGATAAATAAAAAAATCTAAAATTTGAAAAATCGCAAAATTGAAAAGCGAAATATTGCAAATCGAAAAATTGAAAATTTTCACAGTGAAAAAATATATATAGAATCAGAACACTGAAAAAGAGAAAAATTCAAAAAATAAAGAAAATAAAAAGTAACGAAAAATTGTAAATCGAAAAATTGGGGAATGAAAAAATGAAAAATCTAAATATTTAAAAAAATTTTGATATTCTGAATTGTCAGATTTTCCGTTATTTTTCATTTTCAATATTTCATTTTTACAATATTCCGTTTTTTCGATTTTCTACTTTTTCAGTTATTCGTTTCTTCAGTTTTTCAACTTCTTGATTTCCAGTTTTTAGATTTTTCAAATTTTTTATTCTATACTTTTTCGAAATGGTGGAAAATCGAAAAATTGCAAGTCGACGTACTGAAGAAACGAAAAACCGAAACTTTGAGAAACTAAAAATCGAGAAACTTAAAAATCAAAAAATTGGAAAAACGAAAAAACGAATCCAATAGAAAAACTGGAAAACCCAAGAATTTTAAGATCGAAAAATTATGGAATCGTCAAAATTGTAAAATCGAAAAACTAACATTGAAAAATCGAAAAACTGGAAAATTAATACAGAGAAATTGAAAAATTTAAAACGAAAAATTAAAAATGTGAAACATTTTAAATATTTTACTTATTGTATTACATATTTAAAACGAAAACTAGAAAAATTGCAAAGCAAAAATTGAAAAAACGATAAATAAAAAAATCTAAAATTTGAAAAATCGCAAAATTGAAAAGCAAAATATTGCAAATCAAAAAATTGAAAATTTACACAGTGAAAATTATATATAGAATCAGATCACTGAAAAACAGAAAAACTCAAAAAATAAAGAAAATAAAAACTCAACGAAAAATTGCAAATCGAAAAAATTTTGATTTTCTCAATTATCGGATTTTCCGTTTCCTTTCATTTTCAATATTTCCATTTTACATTGTTTCGTTTTTCGTGTTTTCAGTTTTTCAATTAAGTTTCTCAATTTTTAATCTTCCAATTTTCTGGTTCTTCACTTTTCTAAGATCGTAATTTTCAATTCGATCACCAAAATTGTAAACTCAAAAAACACATTGAAAAATCGAAAAACTGGGAAATTAATATCCAGAAATTGAAAAATTTAAATCGAAAAAATAAAAAATCGATTAAATGAAAAACTTTTAAAAACCGCTATTTAAAAAAATACTTGGAAAAATTCTAAAAGCGTAAAAATTGAAAATGCGAAACATTTTTAAAATTGCAGAGCAAAAATTAAAGAAACGATAAATTAAAAAGTCGAGAGACTGAGATTTCAAAAATTGAAAAAACAATAAATTAAAAAATTAAAAATTAAAAAAGCGCAAAATTGAAAACCGAAAAATTGAAAATTTTCACATTGAAGAAAATATATAAGATCAGAGCACGAAAAACAAAAAGATTCGAAAAATAAAGAAAATAAAAACCCAACGAAAAATTGGGGAAATGAAAAAAGGAAAGTGGTAAAATTTAAACTAAAAATTACTAAGTCAAAACTTGTTGAGTTGCGTGTCATAAAATTTAAGAAAAAAAAAATGAAAAACTGAAATTGCAAAAACAAAAAAATATGGGACATTGAAGAATCAAAAAATTGAAAGCTCCCGAAACTGAAACATCGGAAAATTGAGAAATTGAAAATCGAAAAACAAGATTTCAGAACATTGAAAATTTAAATAATATTTACTAATGCAAATTTTGGAGATGACGATTCTTCAATTTTTCTTCAGTTTTTCATGTTATCAATTTTTCGATATTTCAGTTTTTGGGTTTTTCAATTTTTCGCTTAAATTTCTCGATTTTTCAAATTTTCGATTTAAAACCAGATGCTTGTAATCTGAACGTGCTACTAATCGAATTCTTTGGTAGTGTAGACATAAACAGCCGAAGTTAAGCAAACCATTGGTTATCTGATATTGTCCACACAAAATAGCAAAATCAAATTTTATGATTTTTTAGAAAGCATAATTTTGTCGAGCTTATACTTCAAGGCTGTCCAAATAATCTTCGACCAATTTTTTTAACACAAAATCGATGAGAGTTACTTCCAGTTTTTGCATTCTTTGATATACCAGGTGATATTTTTAATTTCTGGTCTAGTCAACCAAGAATTTGTTGACAAAAAAATTCGGGCAAAAATGGCAACAAAGCACAATTTAGGTTATGTTAAAACGCGAGGTTGTATTGTAAATATAAAAAAAACCACTCGGATCACATATCTTAACCAAATTGCCCGGGAAAAAAATTCAATTTTTTCAGTTCTTTGAATTTATGATAAACGATTTTCACTACAATGACAATGTCATATTTAAATTTCGATATGGTAATTCGACTTGATCGTTTTGATTTTTTCCACGCTCGACTTGTTCGATTCGATGGACTGGGTGTTTACGAAACCAGTGAGCAGCCGATTTTGTCACATTCTTGTCGCTTTAACGCAGGCCAATGTTAAATCGTTAAGTAGCACCGGCACCGAGTGGACCACTTCACTCGGTGGCTGAAAACGCACCAACTACGGGTTTAGACGCACTGGACGGGT